CGGGCCGTTGCGCAGATGCGCGCGCAGAGCCGCCCCGAGCGACGCGACGCGCTGGTTCAGGCCTCTGTGAAGCGACGCCCTCAGGGGAAAGGGTTACTGCATAACAGTTAATGGTTACTTAGGGGCCTCCGTGAGCAACATTTTTTTCGGTATAAAATTTAAACTTTGTTAAAGCTGAATTCTGGATAATATTTTATTTTGTGTAACAGTTAAATTGTGTGGTCCCATTTTTTTAACACCATTGTTACATTTTTTTTTTAAGCCAACAGCTGTGCGTAGTTACTGAGCACTTCATATAAAACATAAACACTCCTGGCAGGAAATCAAGTTACTTTTTGGCATATGTGGCTCTGGGTTGATAAAACCTGGCTGTGCTCTTGCATGGGTTTTGCTGGTGTAGCTCCAGGTCTTTACAGAATGGGGGCATGTAAGCAGTGCTGACTTAGCGCACAGACTAATGATTTTTTTTCATTCCCTGGTCATCAGTTTTTTTCCTGTACTTTAAGGATTGTTCAATGAAAGTTATGAGCATAAAGTATAATTTTGTCTTATTGGAATATTTTACAAATATTTTTGTATATTTGGCCTGTTTTAAATTGAAAGTACACTAGACCACTAGCTTATGTAATCACAGGGCTTTTAAACACCAGCACTAAGGTCTGTGTTCAATTCGAATACAGGCTTCTGCTCCATAGATCTTATTTCTTTGGTCTTATTTTTACTAGCAAAAGGTTTTAAGCTTTATTTTTGGTAAGCAGCAAGGGATTTAGTCTGCACAGCCTGTCTGAGACTGCACACAACAAAATTCCAGTGGTGGGTAAGTGCGTTCAACATCTGTACACAAAGCTAATGTAAGGCAGTAATCAGATAGCATAGAGGCAAAGAGCCAGCTTGGAGTTGCACTTCGTAGGGGTGGAACGAATGCATAAGCACACTCAAGGAATGTCTACATCAGTGAGGAATGCAGACCCATAGTGCTGAATTTGTAGGGTGAAACCATGGGGTGGAAGCTTTCTCAACCTGAGGTTGAACCTGATAAGCTTTTTGAAGAGTTTCTGCTTTGGACTAGACTAAATGCCCTTTAGTGGTGGGAGCGCATTAGATGTACCACTAGGTCCCATCTGCCTGTTCGTTTCATCTGAGAGAAATTCAGTCCGTGTGCTCTGAAACCACTCTGATGTCAACCGAATCCCAGTAAGCCTGGACAATCATGAGATTTGCCTCAGAAGTGCACTCTTCATCTGAACTAAACTGCTCATGGAGACAAATCCTGATGGACCAGTTGCATGAAGCTACCCAATAAAGGAAACTGGAACAGGGATATACCTTAAAATCTGTTGACTTCCAGAGTTTGCCTTATACCAGAAACTTTGCTCCACATGGAAAAAAACTACCTGCCTCTTTAAGACAGGTGTCTATATACTTTCTGGAAGCAAGCTTCTGCGTTAAAAAACAAAAAGAAAACTTCCTGCTACTTCTTGTACTATTGCAGAGGTAAGAGCACTTCTGCTGCTGTTCTTAGTCACCTCTGTTAATAAACGTACAATTGTCTGCTTGTTTGTTTTTTCTCATGACAGACAGAAATAAGGTGCAACTATGCAAGTGGGTTCAGAGAAGGTCCTGTTGGACCTTTAACCGCCTGAGCAGAACAGCAAGCAAAAGGGGAAATAACTGTCTGGTTTGGGGAAAGAGAAGGAAATAGGGACAAGATTGTTACTATTACAGGCAGGAGTAAGCATGGGAGGAAATAAATGGAACTAGGAGGCAAAAGGAGTGGCTATTAAGGATCTTGTTAAAGAATAGAATAAATTCCAGAAGGACGGAAGGAGAATGGAAACAAGAAGGTGACATTCAAGGAGTTTCCCAGCAAGGGACAGCAACAACCATGGGCAAGGTACTAGAATCAGTTCTCAATCAAGGTCAGTATTTACTGCGACTTGTTATTATGAAGCTATTCCCTTGCTTGTACTCCCCTGCTTCCCCAAGTTCTTTCCTCACCACTTCTTTTCATATCTCCTGATCAGGAGGTAGATGAATGGGAATGTTTTTTGAGTCAGTCTTGTCAGGAGGGTTGTTATCAATTTGGAGGTGAGAACTTAAAGCACAGGCCACCTTCACTGATGATCTCTGTCTGCCAAGGATCTGGGAAGAGGAGAATACGTCATATTGCAAGCTCACTTGTCCAAGCCTGAACCATTTGAATTTTGAGGATCACTTTAGCAGCTAAAAAAATTTTCACTGTTTTGTGTCTTCCTATCTGTGAAAGCTCAGAAGAAATGAATGCTCACAGAAATGAATGCCCAGATGCAGTGAACACAGCTGTTTGTCAAACATATTTAATACCTGTGCCTCTTGGTATCAGAGTGGTAACTTCATAAAAAATGTCCAAAATGCTGATGTATAACTCTGACATTCAGAGTAATTAAGTACTGTTGCAAGGCTGTCCTTGTTGAATTCCCCCCATTCCAGCAGAGTTAACAATTCTAATGTTTGAATGACATTAGGAATATTGTGTCCGATCAAAGAAAGGCACATTTATATAACGTATATTTTTGGCATCAAGACTTTTGGACAAGTGAAGAAAGATAAACTCTTAAATTGTATCTTATGTGTGTAAATGAACTTATTTCTAAAATTCCACTTCTTAACGCCCTAACTCTTAAATTGTATCTTATGTGTGTAAATGAACTTATTTCTAAAATTCCGCTTCTT